CCAACAGCACCAATTGAACGTTCGCTACAAGAAAGGAAATCTAAACGCTGATGCAGACGCATTGAGCAGTGCATTTTAGTTAGTTCCTTCTCGACCTTGCGGTCTTTCGCTGGCGAGTCGGGACAAAATTTGTCCTCATCACGGCCTTAGCTGAGCGTTCTCGTCCCGAGTGATCTCAAGGGGCCAACTTTATGCTGTATTCTATTTAACTACGTTGTTGTACGTGTAAAAATTTGAGTTCTCGTTTTAAGAGTTTTGTGTCCCACATGATCCTCTTGATGTAGGGGGAATGAAATTCCGATAGATACGTAGGCAGGTACATGTTGTACTATGCCTTGTCTGGTGTTCTGTCGGGTAACCGAAGGCACTTGCTTGTGTCATGCGTTGTCTGTTGTCGAACCGTTCTTGACAAGTTGCAGAACCATCGACAAATACTGAAACGAAAAATCGTCAGAAGAGATGAGCGAAGCTAGTCGAAAAGTTTTGGCAACAAGCCAGTGGAGCTGGGATCTGCTCTCAAGAATGGGATGTGTTCGCGGAACTTAGCCTAAAGCCATATTCGTCCCCTGGTCCTGGAGGTGAACCTGGAGGGACCTGGCGAACGAGCGCATCCGATACCCGAGCCATGTGGAAGCAGCTCGTCTTTCCGGCGCACTGTCTGGCGGCAGGGGTGCTGTTATGCCTGGGAGTCCACACCGCACGTCATTGCCTCTGCAAAGGCAATCTGTGTGAAGGCCAGTGAACGAGCCCACCTGACGCCATCAGCTTAACGACGTCATCAAGCGGTGGCACCTGTCTGTCTTACGCAACGTACGGCGAGCTCCCTCAGCCCACAGGCCCGCTGAAGCAAGCAGCACCATCTAGTATGGCGAGTTTTACGCAATCCGTGGCAACATTACTCCTTCTTGGGTGCAACCCAGCGCAGCGGCTCCGGCTTTGAGGACAATGACGCAACCCAGCGGCGGGCCCTCATTGGAATATTCTGACGCGACCGAGCAGTAGTTCTAATTGGACGTTGATGACGTAAAGGATCACCTGGGGACTATAAAGAACCACGCGGTGATTCGCCAAACAGCCGACCTTTGCATCAGAGAGAAGCTGACGTATGCGTCAGAGAGATGACATCTCGGCTCTTCCAGTCCCTAAGCTGTCGGCCCCAGTGCCCAATATGTAACGCCTCTATTTCTATGCTGTACATAAACCTTGACTTAGAAGTCTACTGCAACGAAAGTTGGCACTCCGCAAGAAGTTAATATATAGGTAGTCTAGCTAGAGGTAGTGCTGCCTGCCGAATGTCGCCTTGGACATACAAGCACTTACTTTAGAAAAAAGCCTGAAAACGACGGTGTTTTTGAGACCGAAACTAGAAAAAACGAAGCCAACACTGCGGACCGGATGTGACATGAATGACAGAAAAATTGTCAGCTCTACGCCCCTCGAGCACGCACATCGCGGACGCGCCCCTTAGTATGTGTGTTTTTTTTATGTTAACTTAAAGCCGCGTGAAATGCCTCTTATCAAACGCTGGTCCGGGCTCCCCACTGGTGGGTTTGCATTGTCTGACTTTCAAATTCAGAAACGCAGCTTTACATGAACATGACTTGCCATCGACTTCAATGCAGCACGAACGCGTTACAAACGCGCTGTCTTTAGGTGGTGCCGAGGCATTTCAAACGCACAAACGTGGTTCAAACGCGATGCATTAAAAGTGGTTTGAACGCAAAAAAAGCGATTCAGTAGCAGGGAGTATTTCTCACAAGACGCGTTGCAGCAAAATTCTGTAGTAATCATCATATCCCGTTCTGTCCAATTTGCCTGGGCTCACCGCTAGAGCTCCGCGTCGTCGGCATGCTGGCAATTGAAGCACCGATTATAAATTAACTACGTGACTGAAAGATTTTTCCCTGTCGTTATCGTAACCTACCGCATACATACTACGTACTTATGGCCGTTTCCGCTCAAGCATAATTTCGTTGCACTGTCATCTTGTCCGCTCGTCTATCAACTGTGCGCAGAAGCGGTCGCGAGCTGAGAAACACAAGCTATCAGCCAGTGTTCTTGGCAGAGGCGAGTTTCTTAGCAGTGGCGCCTTCAGGACCGTGTTGGCGTTTGGCCTCACAACAATATGTAGAATCACTTGTTATTAGAAGAAAAAGTGATTTTGAGGGCCTTTGAGAGTGTATGAAATAAATACCAGGCTGCGAGCTGTGCTATAATATTTCACTCGCGTGTTCTTGGTTGCCTCGACTACCAATCAGCAGTTTTATCTGATCACGCACAAAAAACGTTATGATTCTTCAAGAACACTAAAAGTGTAATTTGCTCATTCACGTGCATTTTCCGATATATTATTACAGCTTCCCTAGAAAACCATTCTGAATTTCGTGCAGAAATGGCTGTATAAAAGTAACGTATAATAAGATGTTACATAGATCTGGGGGCTGGAAACTCGTGATGCCTTGCAGCACTCTGTAATTTGCTGCTAGTAGCATTTCCTTAGCGTGAACAGCCAATGGTGAGTTAAAGCGATGCGCATCTGATAGAGGATCGCATTCAGGACACGGAGTTCGCAAATTCTGGGAAGTCTGTCGACTCATCATATTACTGTTCCTTGCGGTGGTGGTATCTTGAACATAGCGGAAGGAAAGCTAAGTAGAGGCCCTTGCAATGCGATCAGCAGAACGAGAAGTGTTGCGGAAGTCACATGATTTTGCAGGGGCGGGGGGGGGGGGGGGACAACGTGGCACGCTGGCGTCTCGTGTCGTCTGCATCACCACTCGTAAAACCGCTTTGTTGATAGCCAGCTGTAGGTCTGAATGCGCATATTTATGCAGCTGTAACACTGCAAAAGTGATGCAGTGTGTCAGAAGCGTTCAGTGAGAGTTGGTCTTCGTGGTTGCGGGTTTATTGTATATTGCTTGAGATCAAAAGTGGTCGTTTTCGAAGCTCGTGACCACTTTTTTGAAAATTATTGGTGCCACAACTTCGCTGTTTTTCTTCGGCACTGGGCTTGCGTTCTTCAGCGAATGAAGCCTATATTATCAAGACGACAACGGCAGCGTCTACGACTGCGACTGAGGAAGGCGGCAGTAGACTGTTCTCGTGTACGATGGTCACAACTATGGGAAAGCAGTACGTGGCACACTCTTCTTACCGGAGATTGCCGAGCCAAGATTTAGACTTACATGACAAATTAGGTGATTTATTCTTTGAATTATCCCTTTATGGTAACATTTTGTATGGGTTAACCTAATATTTATTAATTGTTTTTTTTCGCTATGTTCGCAGTCAGCCAACCCGCACGCTGCTGCGAACGATACTCATGCGCGCGAATCGTGACACACGTGTCACAGAAGGATTTGGCGGTATTTCATCTGGCTAAATAGCAAGACAAACTAAATAAAATTTCACTGTTACATTACGTTCCGTACCAAGAACTTACCATATGTGCCGAAGAAAACCGCCTATCATGGCGATTATCTGGCCAATTCACGCCGTTGCTCTGTTGCATTCAGTGGATTAAACACAAACTGCAAAGCAGCAAATTTATTGTAGATTCGCGCTGATACTGCAAACCACACTCACACACTTCACAAGCAAATATCACTGCACATTTGCTCATCATTAGCAATAAAGTTTTGCTTTTCTAGTTCAGAAGGCTGCGGCTAGGGCAGCCGACGCGTCAGAAATGGGCTCGCCTCCCTCTCGCTGGCGCCCGCTGCGCATGCACGATCCACCGTAGCGCGCCCACAATTGGGAGAAGTGCTCTACTCTTCCCTACTGCCGGCTTGATGAAATGTGACGTAACAGCCTCTCCTCAGCTTATTTCTTCCTGTGTGATCTTGAAGATTCCGAGTGACGATAAGTTTGTATATAAACTAAAATAAAATATACGTGTTTTGTGGCTGACTTTCAACCCTATAAGTAAAGGAAATAAAAACAGTGCCCGCTAAGAAAGTGAGAAAAATATATCTTCTGCTATGTCGTAATATCACGTCTGTACTTCTATAGAAAAATTGTTCGTCCAAGCCAACACGTTGCGGCAAATAGCACATGTTCACAACGTTGACGTTTTTTTTCATTGCGATAGCACCTACATAGACACTCTCGGCTGTATTTTGTCGCTGGCGTCGGCGTCGACGTCGGCGTCAATCACCGTATGTGTGTATGTATCTATGTATATAAAGATGCAAGAAAGAAAAATAACAAAAAAAGACTCCGGTGAGCGCAATAGAAGTTGGGTCCTCTTAATCGTAAGTGCAAAGCGTTAACCACTGAGCCACCGAGGAGCACGTCCATCGTCCTTCCGACGGCAAGCTATTTATATCTACCACTTACCGCTGCTCACGGACATCTCGGAGGGAATTATCGTGTTTTTAGCATTACCAGCAAGATGGCGCAATAAGCGCGCGCTGGCTTTTTCGCTCGCCACAACGCGCAGTGGCACGCGCTCTAATGTATCACGCGTACTTTGCTCCACTTAGAGGAGAGTGACGCTCTCTCGCACGCCATTAATTCGTGGTGGGGAGGAGGGGAAGATCATACATCTTGGCTGGCTTAGGGCTCTACCTGAAACGGTGCACAAAGGCCACTGCAATCATTGCACTCTCCGTTTGCGAAACGCGCGCACTTTTTAGACACAGCCAAGTAACAATTGAGACACTCATTTGCGTGAATCTGCACCTGCGACTACGTTTTTTGCGTCGTTTGTGCGTGAGAAAAGTGGGTAACGTTTCGATCTGCTTTCGATTCGGCGCGTGACCTTCCAATGTGTTGCTATCGCGCTCATTGCTTCGCCTTTGGGGCAAAGCTGTGACTTTTTATTTGCCGCATCTATTGCATACGCTACTGAGGTAAGAGCTACGCAATACCACAGGCGCTGATTATCACCACTACACGACATTACCTCTATCACATTCCACTTCAATTACACAATTACTAATTAATGGTACCCAACTTAGTAACGCATCGACTGTGACGTTTTTATGTTTCCCTTCCAGGTCATTCTTGGAGCAGGAAGAAAGGTCTTCTTCAATTCTACGGAATATGATGAAGAATGCAAGAAAGGTGCAAGAATCGATGGGCTCAACTTGATAAATGTCTGGCAAGCAATGAAAAATAATACTAATGCTAGTTATGTTTGGAACAGATCCCAGCTTTTAGCGGTTGAAACTAACTCTACTGATTACTTGTTAGGTGGGTGCATTTTACGCAAGACCGTACGCATGGACACTACTTTAAATTAGATGCTCCTAAATAGCGTAAAATATTTATTTATTATTTATTTATTTATTCAAAATACCTCTCAGACCCCTTACCAGGAAGGGGGGTGGCGAGAACATTCGAAAGACAAGAAATAGTAGTCAGCAAAAAAAAATCTATGCCATTGCGCAAAATACAACAGCACGATACGTTAGAAAAAAAAGAAATGATTTCAAAAATTGAAATAATGCACAAGTATAGAAGGATTATAGTTTAAAACGCAAGTATGAAGTTCAGACATTCACTGTAATTGCAAAATATACTGGGTGTCCCACGTGACTTTAGGCAGAGTTTAAAAATATGCCGGCACATGTAATTACGACGCGACCAAATGCATGTAGCTCACCGTTTCCTGGAGTTAGTGAGAATATTTTTTTGTGTTTTGAAATATTGTTTAAGCAGATAAGTTTAATTAACTAACTTTTCAAAAAAAACGAAAATACATGAAAATTTCAATAAGGAAGTTGTAGATCGGTTTGCAAAACCTCCGATTAGACAGTCTTGATCTTTATATCTGTTAGTTATTAGTGTTTTTCTACTAATTACAAATATCCGCGAAATACAAAAAGTACCACGTGACAAACCCACTTTTGCGCCAGTGCGGGCAATGATTTTAGTGCTCCCCAACGTTCCACGTACGAACGACCATAGCATTTGTCCCATTGTACTGTCTCGGCATGGCTGCAACGATGGTGGTGGCTTTACTATCAACAAGTTTTGCTATCAACCACAAAAACGATAACCGCTGGGACAGCTTATCGCTGTCGTGAACCGTTGCGAGGGAAGCGTGTCGTTCGTACGCGGAACGTTAGGGAGCATTAGAATTATCGTGCGCACTGACGCGCGAGCAGGTTCGTCACGTAGTATTTTTTTATTTCGTGGGAAATTGCAGTTAGCCGAAAAACACTAATGCCTAACAGATATAAAGTTTAAAACTTTCTAATCGTACATTTTGAAAACTGATCTACAACTTTCTCATTGACATTTTTCTCTATTTTCGCTTCTTGAATAGTTAGTTAATTATTTCATCTAATTGAACAATATTTGAGAACACAAAAAATAGTCTCACTAACTCCAGGCAACGGTGAGTAACATGCATTTGGTCGCGTCATAATTACGTATTCCGATACGTTTTTAAACTCTGGCTAAATCTATGTGGGACACCCTGTAGACGTGTAGTAGCAATAAGTTGATGCAGCATTGAATTAAAGTGGTGGTGCCAACAAATTTGTGGCATGAATGTTTTTTGCTGTAAGCTTGCGTTTCTTGATTGATTTGACTGATTTGTGGGGTTTAACGTCCCAAAACTACCATATGATTATGAGAGACGCCGTAGTGGATGATGATGATGAAAAACATTTAATATAAAAGAGACAGGTACGGGGCCAAAGCATTACCCCGCCGTAGTGGAGGGCTCCGGAAGTTTCGACCACCTGGGGTTCTTTAACGTGCACCCGAATCTGAGCACACGGGCCTGCAACATTTCCGCCACCATCGGAAATGCAGCCGCCGCAGCCGGGCTTCGATCCCGCGACATGCGCGTCAGCAGCCGAGTACATTAACCACTAGATCAACGCGGCGGGGCAAGCTTGCGTTTCTTTCAGCTCCAGTAAGCATGACACATACAACAAAATTCGTGTATTTTCGCTAAATAATTTAATATTGTTCTTTTTATGTGGACCAGATTCGGTTTCGGTTTCACGGTGCTGAATTGGGAAGGGACGTTGATGCATAGGTCGCTTAGTCACGTGAGCACACAAGGATGTCACGCATATCACGTTGACTTTCGTCTGCTCTCATATTCACCTGCCACAACAAGCGCCAGCAAAACAAACGCGTTGACAGTTATCATGGCCAGCTGCAGTAGCATCGAGGCAGTGGCAAGGCAAAAGGCAGCTAGAAGGAAACAAAGCGTTGATATTTACAACGTGTCTACAGAACGAGGACGAGGAAGCAGCCCGACGCTCGATGCGCCGGCCTTTTATAAGCGTCGAGATGCTGATAGACGATGACACAGCCCCTCTGTTGAACGCGCGCAGTGTCTCTGAACGACGCGTCGAGTGTCTTTTGGAAAACAAGCTGAGTTCTTGACGCACGCACATGGTGTCTCTGCAAGGGACATCAGCAAACTCGTAACAGCAGGCATGCTAGCTCTCTCCTTGTTTACAAAATGCGTTTCGGGGATGGCGGAGGTCACTCACGTCATTACAAATCTGGTGTGATGCGGTGACAACTGTCATTGCTTCTCCTATTCTGAAACGTCAGAGTTGCTGCGCAAGCGATTTGCCTAGATGGCGAGAGTGAGCATACAGGTACACATTTAGAAGTGAATTAAAACAAATTATATTCGTTCGTTGTGTCCGACTCTTCGTGTAGAGAGTCCTGTCATACAGAGGAAACCCACAATAGGCTTGGGATAGCCTCAAAATTTGGTGTCACCACCCCTTTAAATCCACACATATGCGAAGACTGTTATTGGGTATATACCAAAAGAGGTAGTGATATAAGAGTAAGTAAAATTGTTTTCGCGTAACAAGGCTAAAAAGTTGTGAATTAGTTTTTCTTCTTGTGCATGACGCTAGGTTACTTTATTCAATTATTGCTTGTAGTTTAAATAATTTAGAGGAAAGATGTGAGCCAGAATTTATGCTGGCTACTTTGTTATCATGGCCATGGCGTGGGAAAGCTGCAGAGGGTGAATAAAGCAAGTCATTATGAAGCGCGCAACGATTGTACAGTTTATGAGAATAAGGGTAGGGAGCACAGAGTCATCAATTTGATAGTGGTTCCAATCCGGCATGCTAAATTGCCGGGACAGTAAGTGGAATCAATGAAGTCAACAACACGGGTGTTGAACAAATCTATGATGTTGACGGCATATTCTAGATCAGAATCTCATATTACAAAGACATATTTCACTTCCTGACGGATGAGTGTTATGTAAACAATTTTGGGGTAGTTAGTGCATGTTTCACGCTTGGCTTGTTTCAGCTGAAATTAAGATAGTGCTATATCATAATGGGATGGTTAACTAGACTGCAAATCAACTTAGAAGTGTGGCAGCTTGGGCTACTTGGTATGACATGTCGATAGTTATAGTGCGAGAACAGAACGACGACACAGAGACACGTGCCCTTCGTGTTCTTCTTGTCTCTTTGACGTCGTTTTGTTTTCGGGCTATAACTATCGCCATGCAAAGCAACGCCATTAAAGCTCTCCTTTTGTTGATGTAAGTTCAAGGCTAGCATTATTAGCAGGTAGGTTGTAAGAAATGACTGGAATGATTTAGCGAGTGACATTGGCTTCGAATTGACACAATTAGGCACAGCAGTTATGAGGAGCACGCAGCTGTTACTTCATTAAAGTCACTTCAAAGGTCAAGGCAGTCGGCATCATTAGTAATTCGCTATATAAAACACAACTATGTGACAAGTATCTAATTTAAGAGAAAACACATTACTCCCCGATCGTTATTGAAAATAACAAAAATAGGGAACCAAGTATTCGGCCTTGGGCGACTCAGGTGGTTACGGGAACAGAAAAAAAGAGGCATTAGCTCAGGCGTATTGTCTATTGTACAGTAAGTCATTATTCTGGTGTTATATCTCATTCACGTCATGTACCCAGTTATAAAGGGTGCTGTGAGACCCACAGGACGGCTCTATGCTCTCCCTTAGTAGAGTATCAAGTACTCAAAATCGTTAACCACTTTTTCTAAACACACATGTCATTAAAGAGGCAGAGACGGCACACAGCTCTCCCATAGCAGAGTACCTAGTACTCTAAATTGTTAACCACTTTTTCTAAACAGACAACATTAAAATAAAATTGAGGTAGGTTAGTTTGACTAGAAGCATGTGATGAGGAACGCTACAAGAGCTTTGAATAAACGATAAACGAAGCGTCCGCTTAAAAGTATGTGTAAACAGCTGAAAATAAATCGTTAGTAAATCTGATGAAGTAAGTATTGTATGAAAACCCTTGCGAAATTCGCGCTAATATTCTAAAATAAAGTCATGCTATTTCATATAATTTATTATATGAGTATATACGACGTGCTCAAGAAGTGTACATATGCTACTAGAGATAGGAGGGTTGACAGTTAAGCGGAACGCAGCGGTAAACTGATTTAAATAATGGGATCATCTTAACTACTCTTCACTCTTTAGGAACAATAGAAGACGACAATAAGTTTCAGAACAAGGCTGAGGCCCCGCCACGGTGGTTTAGTAGCTAAGGTATTCGGCTGCTGGCCTGCAGGTCACGGGATCGAATCTCGGCTGCGGCGGCTGCATATCCGATAGATACGGAAATGCTGTAGGCCCGTGTGCTCAGATTTGGGCACACGTTAAAAACCCAATGTGATCAAAATTTTCGAAGCTACTCAATATGGCTTCTCTCATAAATATATGGTGGTCTTTGGACGTTGATGATTGATATGATTGATTGACATGTGGGGTTTAACGTCCCAAAACCACTATATGATTATGAGAGACGCCGTAGTGGAGGGCTCCGGAAATTTAGACCACCTGGGGTTCTTTAACGTGCACCCAAATCTGAGCACACGGGCCTACAACATTTCCGCCTCCATCGAAAATGCAGCCGCCACAGCCGGGATTCGAACCCGCGCCCTGCGGGTCAGCAGCCGAGTACCTTAGCCACTACACCACCGCGGCGGGGCTGGTTTTTGGACGTTAATCCTCACATACAATATTAGAACAAAGCTGATAACGCTGGTAAAAAGTTTACGAAGGCATTTAAGAATGTTCAGTATGTTCCTTTATTGGCATGTTTCTTTGACATTTTCTTTCAAAAGTTGTAAGGGTGGAATGCCAACGCAATCATATTTTGCGTCCATAGCCACGCGAGACTTTTCGTCACAAATGGTCTCACGATCATAGACACAGCATTGTTCTCTTCGTGGACAAGAAATGCTTGAGCTGCGCTGATAAAGAAGCATTCAAGATAAAAAAAATCATAGCATGTCTACCGAGTGAGTGATGATGAGTGCTGTGAAGGATCCACCCGTCCGTGTGTTCGTTCTTCCTGACGCATGGACGGACAAAAGCACGGTCAAGATAAAAACAACCACGAAGCTTTTTTTTTGTAATGTGCACCAGCTAGAAAGGGCTTGAAACTCAATGTGTTGCTTATAATTTAAATCAGATGACTTTTGAATTGCGTTGGGCAGAGAACCAAGTAAAAAAAAATGAATATTTGCCATTTTCAAAACAAAGGTGACGTTCACGAGGCCGTGCTACATGGGCCGATTCCCAGAAGGTGTGGCCATAGCACAGACAAACGCCTATCCACTTGTGCGGGGATTATTGCGCCTTGGTCTGCTCTCTGTAGCTGGCAGGCTAAATGATAAGTGATATAAATTTACGTGATCCCGAGTGCTCTAGACAGGAAAAGTCATGTTTTGCAGCACAAACATGAGACAGTACTTATTGCACTACCTCTACGGTACATGATAAGTCGGTTTGCAATCTTAACACTGCATGATGACGAAACATGTTTCAGAATCGAGGAAGTTTGCCTCCGTACTTAAGCGAATGGGACCAGCTGCCTTACTCAACGTACTGACTGGAAACTAAGAGGATCAGCAAACAATACTGGTTACATTATTGAGGCCCGCCCTAGCGCTGAGACCTCTTTTTGCTACTTCTCTTCGCATCACTACTACTTTCTTGGCCCTTTGTCAAATAATTGCCCAACTATTTAGAAACAACAACCTAACTTAAACATTCGTTTCAGGCCTATTCGATAATGAGCAAATGCCGTACTGGCTCAACCGCTCTGAACCCAACTCAACAAAGCCAAATCTGACGGAGATGGTAACGGTTGCTTTGAAAATACTTTCAAAAGCGCCCGAAGGTTTTGTACTGCTTGTTGAAGGTGAGCAATGACACTTATTTAAGGTAACTTTAAGCGCTATGCTAGAGGTAAAAGAACTCCTATACCTTATTTGTGTATAAACAATGCTCTACCAATGCCTGCGTCATTCGAAGTCTAACTAAGATTGCTAATAGGACTACACTCTGTGCAACACTCTGATAATACGTTTCGCGGCTAAATTAATGTGTTCTTGTGTTTGTGGTGACAGAATTACAGGATAGTATTAGCATTCCATAAGTACGAAAGTACTTCATCAGCTGAAAAATTTGAAATGGCTTACACTTCTATTGCAAAGAGATCGGGCTGCCTGTTCAGCAAAAAAAAAATTCGGCAAAAGGGTTCGCTGACTGTTGTTCTTATTACGGCAGGCGCATGACCGGGCTAGAGGAGCGGCAGGTGCGCACTCTCTTACGAACTGCGCATCTTTAGGTGCACAGTCCGTAGCAGAGAGCGCGCCTGCTGGGGGGGAGGGGTTTCTATTCTGCGAAATAGCAGAAAAGGAACAAAGGCCACTGTGGCTAGCATTTTTGGATATCAAGGGAGCGTACGATAGCGTAGTTCAAGAGGAATTGTGGGGAATACTGGACGCACTAAGCGGGGAAGATGTGGTCACTAATTTTCTAAAGGATATCTATAAAAGTAACAAGGTAGTGATAAAGTGGGGAAGACAGGTATCTAATCCCACAGATGTGAAATAGGGGCTTAGGCAGGGGTGTCCTCTGTCACCCTTGTTATTCATGATATACCTACAAGGATTAGAGGCCAAATTAGAGGGAAGTGAACTGGGCTTCAACCTCTCTTTCGTCAAACAAGGAAAACTCATTGAACAGGCACTACCAGCATTGATGTACGTTGATGATATAGTGCTAATGGCCGACGACAAGGAAGATTCGCAGAGATTGGTGGACATCTGCGGTAATGAGGGAGATAGGTTTGATTTCAGATTCAGTAAGAAAAAATCATCAGTCAGGATTTTTAATAACAATCAAGGTAATGAGCTTAGAATACAGGAGGTCACGCTAGAGATAACAGATAAGTACAAATATCTGGGCGTATGGATAAGCAATGGGGCCGAGTACCTAAGGGAACACGAAATATACGTGTTGACTAAAGGTAACAGGAATGCAGCGGTAATAAAAAACAGGGCGCTGTGGAATTACAATAAGTTTGATGTTGTGAGAGCAATAGGGAAACGGGTCATGGTTCCTGGTCTGACGTTCGGCAATGTGGTCTTGTGCATGAGATCAGAAGTTCAAGCAAGATTAGAAATTAAGCAACGTGGAATAGGTAGGCTTGCCTTAGGAGCTCACGGGAATACACCAAATAAGGGAGTACAAGGTGATATGGGATGGACATCATTTGAGGGCAGGGAAGCTAGCAGCAAGATAAAATTTGAGAAGCGATTGACAGAAATTGGGGAAGAGCGTTGGGCTAGAAGGCATTCAGCTACTTGTACATGAAGAATGTTCATACAAAATGGCGGAAGCGAACCAGAAAATTGATTGGGAAATACTTGGAAAACAGCAGGGGGCCAAACCAAAAAGAAATATTGGTTAAGAAAAGGGTGAAGGAAGCTGAGACCGGTATGTGGAGAATTGGCATGATTAAGAAGTCCGCACTAGAGATCTATTGAACTTTTAAGCAGGAAATAGCCAAGGAAAGGATCTATGATAATACTCGGGGTAGTGATAATACCCGCGTGCGGAGGAGAGTGTCGTAAGCGAGGGTTGGGCCGCAGTGTTATTAACTAGCAGCGGTTAATGCTGGGAACTACACACGAAGGTCAGGTCAAAAGAGCGTGCGTACGTGCTGATCCTATAGTCCGGCCAGTGGTAAACGTTCAAGAATGACGCTAGAGACATATAGAAATGTTGTACGTAAATACATACGTTCGATACTAGCATATGTTTTATAAAACCAGTGGTTTGCAGTTGCGTAACGATGCCAACAGCATTATTGGTGTTACCCGGACCCTCCTACTGAAATCAACTTCAGTTCGTTGCACTTAACTACGCAAACTTAAGGATAACCCGGCCTGACGACTGTATCTTAGTAAAACGCATGTAATGAGCAAAACATTGGACAGCCAGTGCCACAACCAAAGTTGCGTCTGACGAACGCCTATGTGAAAAACAGTTTCAAGGCCTTGCGTGGCTATATGCTAAAATAATTGATTACCACGCATAATGCTGGAGGTCAATCTGTGCTAGAATTCCTGCATTCGTCGGGTCAACACTGATGATGTCAAGTTTATTCTAACACTCTCGCGTTGAAATTAACATTGTGTGTTTTGTCATTTCTGGGTCTTGCCTGCATCACTGAAAAAAAACACGTTGCTCATTGTTCTAACCAAAATTGAACGTGTTACGTTTTCACAAAAACGTAACGCGTTTGCACGAACGTAACGAAAACGTAACGTGTTCGCACGAAAACAAACGTGCATGTTTTCTCGAAAAGGTCACGCGTCACATTACCATTACCCCACCCCCCAAAAAAAACGTAACGGACATTAATTACCTCAGCCGTTATACCACCATCATTAAGTTTATACAATGTGTCTTTGCTGCAGGAACCCACACAATTTTTTTAAATAGAAGTTTATTATTCACATAAAACCTCTAACCTCAAGAAGAAATATACTCGTAGTGGTCATCTAATGGCGAATATTTGCACAAATTTACCGGACGTTAGCAATGTCATGGCAGCTTAAGACGCCTGGATGGTTACATGTCATGGCTTCTGAATATGTGCCACAAGATGAAGTCATTTTTAAGTGGCTTACAAAATATGAGAATATATCGTCCGTGCTATTCGCAACAAATGCATACCTAAAATTTCAAAAAATTTACAGTAATCGGCTTTTTCCTCGCCCGAAGAGCACCTCTAATGAAGATCGTCGAAAGCGGAACTAGTGGCTCTTGGGCACAAGTGAGACCTATATTAGTGCTTTTTCTAGGGGCGGGGGGGGGGGAGGTCTTTACAGGTTTGTGGCACCATATGCACTGTGGTCCACCGCCGTCATCGTGTTTAGCCAGCACAATTAAATCATGACACGTGCGTCAGCGATGCCATTGCGCGTGCACGTTCTGACTACGTACACACAAAGACCATTTTGAGGGCACACTTCTACGAGCCATACGCGTGCGCAACTTTTCAAGTACTAAATAAATGTTTATTGGCCTAGTCACGGGAAACAATATGATTTTTTTCTCTTTAACCCGTATAAAGTACTACAAACATTTGTAAGCGTTTATCGGAAGGTGTTCGAGGTCAGCATCGCTAGCTAAAGAGCTCAATCACGATGATGATGGTGATTGATTTGTGGGGTTTTCCGTCCAAAAACCACCATATGATTATGAGAGACGCCGTAGTGGAGGGCTCCGGAAATTTCGACCCCCTGGGGTTCCTTAACGTGCGTCCAAATTGAGATTTTAATCACCGCAAACGCAACTCCGATGAGAGAAAAAAAGCAAATATTTTTTTGTTCAGAACAACGTCTATAGGCCGTAGAAGCTTTGTAGCGGCTATTAGGTAGCAATTATTATCATGTAATGTAGCGCCTGTACATATTTTTCAAAAGTACTTATCTTCCCTCGATAAGATTCGTAGAACGTTTTTGTACTCTTTGTTGCGCGTACAATTTATACACAAAATGCCTTAATTGTAGAGATAATGTTTGCGTTCCATCTTCGTTACCATTCGAGAAGGACGGGTGTTGAAGTTGGTCCCGCCATGTTGAAAACGTTTAAGGTGCACTTTAAATGACAACTAACTTCATTTTGATATACTGAGTGGTATATGCATAAAATATAAAGTACTACATCAAATTTAACTTCTTCATTTTCGTATTCCATGTCAATTTCTCCTGGAATCACCCATTCGGAATATCTATGGTTAAGAGACTCACTTCGGCTATGTCTGCCGTGTTGTTTGCAACCAGTAACCGTGGTTAGGCATAGCTCTTTTTAAGACTGCTGAATATGTGCAGAAAAACACGGACGCAAAAAAGAAACGAATATGACAGAAGTAGCTTATATGTACTTAATTTTCTTCCTCAATAAACTGCAGCTGCAAGGAGGCGCCTGTTCTGTTAGTGTTTTGTTCTTGCATCTGTGTTTGTGTACGCACATTTTTTAGTCTTAAGATTAATCTATACTAACTATACCTCAATTATTCGTGTTACTCTTAGCAATAGTGTTCCTGTGGCAGCGGTATGAACGGGTTTTGGTTGAAACAGGGCGATGCCAGTCAAGGCGGTAAGATTTTTTTTTAACGCGAAAGTCATTATTGCCTCACACTCGAGGTAACTAGTGTGTGTCCCGCCCCTTGACACGGTGCCAGCTGTGGCGTCTCCCTGCACGGGGGAGGTTAAATGAGCTTTGTGAATGTTCGAACGTGGATGTCGTCTGCATGGTGCGCAAAGTGCGAGAATACAAACGGATGCCAAACGTAGGCAGATGAGTCGCACGTCTCGCTGTGATTTGCGCTAAACATTGAAAAAAAACAAAAATCGCGCCCCCATTTTGTTTGAGTGTCATTCCACTTGGATGGTTGTAAAAAGCATTAACCCCGCATTGGCATGTTACACTGAAAATGTCGTCGAAAGACGATAGTCTTGCGTTTGGAAAGAGTGAACAAAACGTTTATTTGATGTTCTGTGCAAGAAAAGTGGGGAATGGTATTCTGGAGGCGCTGAGTTAGAGCGCCTCGAGCGTGCAGCGAAGGCGCACGAGCACATCAAGTCACGTCACACGTGAGACATGAGCGCTATCTGGCAGTTATCCTAGAAAACGAAGAACGTGGGGTGCGTGCCTGTCCCTGAGGTGATAAGGTGTAGAACGCAAGGCGACGGGTTGGTGCCGCCACCGTAGCATCTTAACAAAGCTTCGGGAACACATGCTTTATCGTGTATGCGTTGCATGAATAGTGACGCATGATAAACGCTATGGTCCTTAGAATTACTTATGTACAGCTTTTCTAGTAAAAAATTGCACATACAT